CTGTATGTCAGTTGTGTGCTGCATTTTTCTAATCTGTCATCTGCTGAAAAGAAGGAATTGTTTTGGTTTAGGTGTGTTAACACATTGACATAAAAGATGAAGATGCTGTCAGTTCTGAGAAATCATTAAGTCTCAAAGCCAAAGCAGGACACCAAAGAAGCTGTTGACAATAACAATACCTGCAAAAATCACCACCAATTAAGTAGGCTGTATCAAAATTTGACAGACATTTTACAAAAGTGTGTAAATTAACAAAAAAGGAGCTTAACTGATCTCCTAAAGTAAATCAGCATGAAACAAAAACATAGCAGTCATTAAGCATATTTCAGACATAAATTGGTTTTCTTCAGTGATGGGATAATGTCAAAGAATGGGAATTTAAGACTCTGCAAATGTTATAGAACCACAATACCCAGCAATGATTAGTCAAGAGAGCAAATGCTGAGTTCCTCAATCTGTGGAAATAACATATGCATGTACTTTCTAAAAGCTTTGGAAAATCCTTCAGCAAAGGGTCCTAAGTTAACAGAACTGAGATCTCTTTTGATATAGTATGTATAATATAAAGATTAAGAAGTAGGTTGTAATGATAAAGGGGCAGTTCCCCAATGGAGAGATATGAGAAGTCAGAACATGTATTAAGATTAACATTTTAAACATTAATTATGGTTAGAAGTTAGGCAGATAAGGTTGGAGATTGGAGAAATAAGCAGCTAAATAAAAGCAATGTTTTCATATTGAGAAACATGCTAGCTTTATAATTTATTTATTTATTTATTTATTTTATTAAACTTATATGCCGCCCTTCTCCCAACAGGACTCAGGGCGGCTTACAGCATATTAAAACGATACAAACACTATCCCCAATAAAAACCAATTAAAAACAAATATTTACCNAGCCGACACTGCTTGGCCGACGGCACCCTGAGGAGGCCCGCTCTGTGGGAGCGTACTGGTCTGTGAGAGGAAATCTGTGGCAGAAGGCGGTCTCGGAGATATCCAGGTCCGATGCCATGGAGCGCTTTAAAGGTGGTAACTAATTACTGATAAGATCTGAGACAACAGCAAATTATGAAGAAAGAATCTCAAAGTTGCTGGTAGCTGGAATTCAAATGTCCCATTGATATTATAAATTAATAGGAAATCCAGTAAAAACAAAAGGTAGCAAAAATATAACATTAAAATCAAGATGATACCCACCAACATCTATGGCTTCAAAGGGAGATTAAGGAAAGAATATTTTCATTGATAATTACCTCCAATTAGAGAATTAGAATAATTGAATTTTCTTTTAATTGTATGGAGCATTAGAATATAAGAAAAAAGTAATCCTGAATTCTTATATTTAAATCTACAAAATTAAGCTTGTCCTAGCAAAAGGAAGGTTGTCCAAGCAAAATTAAAGTTGGTTTGGAAAGCTGTCCACACTAAAACATGGTCTGTCCAGATTGTTGAGTTTATTGAAATTGTTGATTCTGTGCCATCAGAAAATGCTTTCCTTCTATCAAAAACAGCATTGACACAGATAACTGGTTCTGAGAGTTTCTTAATGTACAGAGCATAGTTTAGGGAAAAAAGGAAAATGACTCAGAAATATTTCCCCTTATAGTGAGCAATTGACTTGAATTGATATTGAGGAAGGTAGTGTATCTGACAATAGTCTTAAAAAGGGTAGTCATGAATTCTCACTGATCCCTACTGCTCCCTTCCTTGTCCCTAATATGTAGTTAAGCAAGTTTAAAAACTAAGTAGTTGTAGTTGTATTATTATTGGATTTTGGAATCTTGTCCCTAATATATAATTAAGTAAATTTAAAAACTCAGTGTGAGTAGTTGACATGTTTTATTATTGGGTTTTGGAAGTTTGTTTTGATGCCAAAAGAAGAAGAATATAACTGATCATTGCAATATTTGTGGCATAGAAAGAATTCCTTTTTATAACAAAAGTATGTGATTTTGGTTACTAGAAAAGCTTATACTTGCCATGGAATTTATTGCCCAATGTATTTAAATTCTCAGAATGCATGAAAATCAGAATTGAAAAAATACCCAATCTTGTTTGATTCAAGGGTCAAATAACACTAAAATAAAACAATGTGGCATATTTACATCATGTGCAGGGTGCAAATTAGCTTACAATATGGGCCAAGCTTTAATTATGTCCATATTTTTATGAATTTTTCTTGAAAAATTAAATATTTATGTTTATGTATATTGAATAAGCTGTCCTTGTTTCCGATTAGTACTAGTCACAATCTGCTTTCTGTATCAGTATTCTTAGTTTCAACTTGATAAGAATAACTATGCTAGAAAAATAATTGCACACCTTGAAATGTTATTTACTTTTTATGTTTCTGAGGAATAAATATACATAATGTTCTATTGACTGCTGACCCTTTTATTTGTCATCTCCCTAATAATGTTTGTCATTCCATTATGCTAGTACTTGGGCATCACATTAAAACAATATATTTGTGGAAATCCGTCTACTAAATTATATTCTTTATTGGTCATTTGGGTTATTTCTGCTACAGTGCACATGTATTTGTTCATATTGTCCTCTGTTTTTGCCCAAAGCAAAGAAAGAAATGTGTGATTATGTCACAGTTGATCTGACCAACCCTCCTTGTTAGTTTCTAATATTGTGCACTCTTCTCTGCTTGCATCTTCCAAAATCTTATATTGTATAATAGGTGCCTTGTTAAATAGTGTTTCCGGTAAAAAAAATATGACATAACAAATGATGATTACATTGTGGCGTGCAACCTCTCTTGAAATACTTCCAGCATTGCCAAAATAGCCAGTTTTAAATATCACCCAATTGTTTCATGTTTAAAAGAGGATGTTTCAAATTTGGAATGGTTTGAATACTTTGCACAGCCTTATTACAATCTTTGGGTCCTTTCAGGATAGTTTATTTCTCAGTTGATGCTTAATAAGCGCAATTGAATGTTTATGTTGCTGTTTTGGCACAGATTTGCACTCATAACTTGTAGTGAGGGTATCATCAAAAACCACAGAAGCAATTTCCTCTTGGGAGCAGATTCAATGGATTGACTTGTCTTGGTTTATTTTGCAGAGATGAAATGAACTTGCTTGCAACAGTTGAATGACCTAATGCAATGATCAGAAGTTTAACTCTTCATAGACTAGCTGCCATTACTAGTCCTAAATTCAATCTTGGCAGTCAAATGTTCCCTGAGGAAAACAGTTATAGTTCATGAATATGCTGAAGTAAGACCAATTAAATTGGTCAAATGTTATATTTCAATTAATCCTTAAGTGGGGGAAAATCCCCAAAGCAAGAATAAAGCCTCTAAGGCTATTATTTCTGCTATAGAAGATGTTATAAATTACTGCATGAAAGGATATCTAAACTTCTGCATCTGCCATGTTATTTTCTAAAATGGAATCTCTAGATAACTGCATGTAAAATGAAAATATATATTCAGATTTGCAGAAAGATATTTAACATTGTATCATATAGAATTTTGTCATCTTCAGTTGGTGACAAAATGATGACATTTCAAGTACACTATACGTGACAACAATATACAGTGGTACATTTGGTACTCATTGTTAATTGGCTCTGGGAAATGCAATGAATACCAAACAAATTTTTCCCATAAGGAATAATGCAGTGAGTCACAAGGCAGCCGACACTGACAAGTTCTAGCCTGTGTGTTGAGTACCAAACAAATAATGAGTATTGGGACAAAAATTTTGCATCGAAATGCTTTGAATACCAAATCAGATGAGTTTCAAAAACAGTTGAGTACCAAGCTACTACTGTACATATGTTTATCATTTAAAATGAGAGATTATTAAAATCTAAAACAAATAAATTACAGACATAATTTAAATAAGATCTAAACAATAATAATGTTAACTTCTTTATAAGATAATACTTCAAATGGTTAATGAAGCAGGGTAGGAACTACATCTTGTCAGATCTTAGGAAATACAGGTATTACATATTGTAATTTGTCATCTCAGACAGAATCTACTCTTTCTTTCCCCCTTAGCCTTGCTGCCTTAATTGCAAAAATAGCAACTCACTGTGTCACGAATTGATTGGTACCTTGTAGAAGGAAATTCAATTTATTTTCAGCATTCCAGTTCTTCATGTCATCAAGGAATGGAGATAAATAATGATCCCTATATTTAACATACAACCAGCATTACAATATATAATGTGACAGATTCTCTATTTCACCTGCCCCTCACGAAAAGTCTGCCTTGCATTGGGATAAATAGGAATTTGCCTTGCTGCATCATTATAATTGTGTTTAAGATTGTCCTTCCTTCCTTCCTTCCTTCCTTCCTTCCTTCCTTCCTTCCTTCCTTCCTTCCTTCCTTCCTTCCTTCCTTCCTTCCATCCTCCCTCCCTCCCTCCCTCCCTCCCTCCCTCCCTCGATTGGAATGTATAATAAATCCTCTAAATATGAATGAATCCTAACTTGTCTGGTGAATTAGCATCTCTTGTCTTTGTAGTCAGGATTTGGAGGCAGTATTCAAATCTCTGTGAGTTATAGCAAATGCTTTTGCTTGCAGTCAGAATTTCAAAAGTAGAAATCCTGAACAAAAACGAGTAACTTATTTTAAAGAGAAATGCTATTGATCAGATATAGATGTTGAACTATTGGGTTCCGGTACTGTTGTTTGCTAAGCACTTGCAAATAATACAATTCTTTCCTAATAATCTTCAGAAAATAACTTATGTATAGTGATGTACACAATACTGAAAGATTACACTGAGATTTAAGTAAAAACAGACCAAAGATGGATAATAATAACTAAAAGAACTCCAGGACATTCTGGATGAGTAGTTACATATAATGTTGAACAATTTATTCATAGGTATGAGTGTGTATCAACATGGTTGATGAATAGGTTTTTCAAATCATTGACTTCTTGAAAATTAAATATGTTATCATTTTCTAGGTATTGCTAGCTAATCATTAGGGGATTTAACTGCTGGCTTTTCTATCTCCTGTGAAGGTGGCTGCAATTAACCCCAACCATCCACTTGCTCAGATGCCCTTGCCTCCTTCAATGAAAAATTGCATTCAACTAGCAGCATGTGAAGCTACTGAGCTGCTACCAATGATCCCTGACTTACCAGCTGACCTGTTCACATCCTGCCTTACCACACCAATCAAGATTGCGCTTAGATGGTAAGTGACTCGCTTGCCATCTGAGTGCATACTGCATGATTTCTGAGACTTGCCTATGGGTCTGATAAAGATGTTGACTTGGAAGCCTCAGTTGCCCAGACATTTCTCTGTAGATCTAAATTAGAAGAATTTGAGGTA